TCATCTCTTGAGATTAGTTTAACTCCAGAATCATTAGTTGATGTAGTTTATAATCCAGTTTTCATAAAATAAATAAAGTTTTTGGTTTTTTCATTTTGGCATGAATAAGTTACGCAAAATACGGAAGATTGTATGATCAAAATGCCATAAAGAATAAATCTAGAATATTATATATTAGTATTTAGTATTAGTCAAAAAAAATTAGCTTAACAATAATACGAAGAAAAAGTGAGTATACGTTAAAAAAACACTTGATAACTCGAAACAATCATGCATGACTGAATAACAGAATAAGACCGATTTAAGCATAACGCCCTGTTTGTTTTCTCTGTTTCATCACTTTTCTATTTATTGAAATGATACTAAAATCTTTATGATTCTTGCTGCATCTATAGATTTCGATCCGACCAGATAAATAAATTGATTACGCATCAAAACCAAGAAAATCTTATTTCTTTTTCAACTTCTATTTTCTCACTGAATCCATATATTCTTCATTAGATCATATTTTCAACCAATCACCTGTAACGTACTCTTTTTTTTGCAATCACTCCGAGTCATAGAAGAGTTATGAAACATGTTCACAATAATATTTTTCAGGTAGGCAAGCGATGAAAAATATAAATTCAGTATAGAGACATTGAAATTTAAAAAAAAAAGAAAGTATTTTTATGGGTTTTATTTGCCTCATTAATATTGACAATATTTTTAGTTTTTCATCAGTCATCACCTCTTTAGAATAACTCAGTGTATAAAATAGCTTAGCTTTAGAACTCATCGTTTTTCTGAGAAAACTTTTCAAATTCGCAGAAATTGATTTAAATTATCTGATTATTTATCAACATGTTGAAGTGTATTTTCATTTTTTGTTCTCAGTATTTATTAGTTTAATTTTTGTTATCCTTTTATACTATTTCAGTTCACTATCTCGTTTGGTTCAGTGATTTGCCTAATCAATCATATTTTCGTTAAATGATAGTGTAATTTTTCTCTGTCTATTGTATCAGTCATCGACTCTTTCTTTTTCATTTCTATTCAGTATATAATATGACCAGTTTTTGTTTTGAAACTATTTCATTTTTTCTTTGTATAGCCTATTAAGAGCTGATATAATTGATAGATGAATATTCTCATACGACCAACTTGATATAGGTCAGTCTTTAAATTTTAGTGTTTTCATTGAAATATTTTACTTTGACATCGGCAACAGAGATAAATATGAAGAGATTAAACGTTATCGATCATCTCATAAGGTAGAAGCAAATAGTATTAGTTAGATATTATTAATAAGTTTTGATTATATATGTGGATACTTTATACATTTCTAGCTCCTTTTATTTTTTTTAATATTTTTCCTATATCTAAAATGACACAGGGATTGAGAATACATAATAAAAAAAGTAACATTTATATAATAATTCAAAATCTATTGAACTTAACAGCCGTCATTAAGAAGAAAATGCTTTATTTCAAATCATCTGTAGTTTAGCATTCGACTATGTAAAATCAGTTTGCTAAAGTTATTTTAATACCTAATAAGTGCTATTCAATAATGTTCCTTTTTGATTTATGATAACAGTTTAGTGAATAAAATTTTGATTGTTTTCATTTCGATGTAGCCTTCAAAATTTATTCTCGATGTTCTTTCAGCTTGGAATATTTGAAAAATACAATAAGGCATCAAAATGAATCTGAAATTTATCGGATATTTTTATATATGTTACTTTCATACAACGTGCGCTGGTCATATGACATTGTTGTAGTCAGAATAGTTTGTATCGTACAGTTTCACTTGTTACTGGACGTTTGATTTCTGAACTGAATTAGTTGTTAGATAAAATAACCCTATTCATAAACTTATCGAAACTGTTTATCCAGCAAGCTAAGACTATAGATAGCGCTATTTTCTATAACAATTTATTCAGATCAAAAATCAAACACATTCAGCCCCTTGAAGAAAAAGAAAAATCGTGAAAAATATACATTTTTACGTGTTTATAACACGTTTTTGTTTTTCGTTGCTTGTCTCACTGGAGAGAATAAGAATGTGAATGTGTGTGAGGGTAAAGGTCGTGCTAAGGCTGACGATAATTGTAAGAGCATATTATTAGAGATGAAGAAACAGTCGCTGTCACATTAATTAGACAAGTACATGTATCAGCGAAATAACATTTTTCGATTTTTATCTGTGCCATCTGCTTTTCTGGTGACGAGTTTTCACTTGTACACACCAGGAAATTTCTGACTTCTGCTTCTTTGTTGACACCTTTCAATTATGTATACAAGTAAATCATCGATTTCTGCTTTTCTGTTTATCATCAAACGTTGTATCTGTTAAAAACCAGAAACCGACAGCCAGGGATTTAGTGAAAGTTAGTTACAATTTAAAATTTGCCACGACCTCATCAGTTGCAATATTTCTCTTGTCAGTTATGTTTCTCGGGAATATCCTCAATAAAAAATTTTATTCTAAAGACTAATAAATATAAATGAATTCACATTTGCTTCATAAGGAAAATGTATCAATTATAGATCAATAATGGTTTATCGTTAATTGATTAATATTATATAAAAAGATTAAATAATATAGTTATATATTTTCATAAATTATAGGTGAATATGTTTTTCATACATGTCATGGATCAGATAATTTAATATTATCATTTTTTGGTCGTAAAAGTCCGGGAACATTAAATTCATGTGCTTCAATTGATATAAACAGTAAGTTGTATTATAAAGATTTCTTTGTTTTTTTTCAAAACTAAATTAGCATTTATGTCTTTTTCTTTATAATTAGCTCTTCAAGTTATAAATTTCAATGAAGATGAAAAAATACTTCGACGCTGGCGTCATTGTTCGTGTTATATAAAAGAAACAGATAAAATCATTATATTTGGTGGTTATATAAATATGTCAAAATCAACAAATGATACACTTTGTTTACAATCAAATGGTCAAATCCTACCATCTCAAGTAGTTTCTTTAGGTTCTCATAAAAATTAATATATGTATATATTAAAACATTTTATTCAGTTTTCACAAACAAAACCAACAAATCGACATTCAGCTCGTTTGAATGCTTATAAACATTTAGCAGTTCTTTCTGGTGGCCTATTAGAATATGATGAACCAACGAATGAAATTTGGTTATTAGACACATCTAAAGATGTTATGAATTGGACATTATTTCAAACAAATGGAGCAGTTATACCAAGGTAAATATAATCAATTGTTTCAAAAAATAAATAATGTTTCATTTATTTCTATTTTTATTTTTAAGATATTCACATAGTGCAGACATTATTGATGATACACTTTGGTTATTAGGTGGAATGAATGCTAATGAACGTAGACCACCAGGTTTATGTAAAATTAATTTGATTACTGGTGAAGCTATTGAATATATAATACCGGTAATAAACTACGTAAATTATACGTAAATCGATATTTACTTTATTTTTTTCTTTAACTATTTAGACAATGTGTGGTGAACAACCAATTATACTTTATAATCATCAAACAGTAATTTTGAATAAAACAACATTTCTTATATTAGGAGGCGGAGGAAATTGTTTTTCTTTTGGTATGATTTAAGAATTTTTACTGAACTATATTTGTGTTTTTGTTCTATTCTTTAGGTGCCCATATCAATCAGCCGATGATTCTTAAATTTAATCATTTAGTGAACTGAGTGTTATTTTTTTCATTCTTGAGAAATTTATGATAATGTGTTTCTTTTCTTTAATCGAGAAAATAAAAAAACCTTGAGATCTTTCTTGTGTTTATCTGAGTATGACATTTCATATTAAAACTAAATCAAGTAAAATATTCAACCTGATTACTGAACTTAACTAAAAACAATTATTCTCATTTTCTCTTTTTCATAAGTTATCATTTTGCTAAGAAAATTTTTCATTTTATTTTTTCTATCACAACCATTGATAAGTAACAGTTAGGCATGTAACACTTTTAGTTCAGTCAATTGAGCTAATATTTATTCATTTCCGTTGAAGTTACAAATACTTTTTAATTAAAATAGGTATTTATATAACTGCGACATTCTCTTTCTAATGCAGGAGATGAATAGTACTTTGAGCAACATAAGTTTACTTATACAAAGAATTTTATTCAGAAAAATGAATATAAGTTAAAAAATGCTTTTAGTAATCGTCTTTGATATAGCCGCAGTATTCTCTAATGTAAATATGATGTATATATTACTCAACCGTAATCAACGATGGCTTAAGTAACTATAAATGGGTAGTATAGGAAAGATTGAATTACGCGCATCAGAGGTAATGAGGTGCGTATCTATTTTTCTATATATATCTAATCAAGATGCTGTCATCAAGGTAAAAAGAAATTTATCCGAGAATTTGAAGATAATAGAGGTTTAAGCATTACCCTTTCGTGACATATTAGTTTGAAAAAAATTCTTTTTATTTTTACTTTAATGAAATGTATTAATATTTTATTTATGCTGCTATTTTATTTACACATATAATATTAGCTCGAGCCTTCTCTCGACATAGTTCTAACTATTAATTTTAATATTCCAAAAAAAACTCACAATAATTTGTCACATGTATAAATGACTTGAATATAATATTTATAGTTTACGTCATATAAAGCATTTTTCAGTTGATAGTTAACTCTCCCGGATAGCGCATATATGAAAAACAAAAAAGAAGTCTTTCAAAGTATTCAATATCATGAGAAATGTAATTATGCAGAAACCACTTATCGTTTTCTTTTTCAAATTTAAATATATTAAAAATGCATTCTTTCAAGCATTAAGATAAAACTGTTTTAGACATCCGTTGTCATTTTTCGATCTAATTACATAATAGATCTTAGTTCATATAATAGAAAAGACAAAAAAAAAAGTTTCTCTTCTCCTACTTGTATTATTAGACGCAACAGATATTTCCATACTTCATCGACATTTTGATATAAATGAACTAGAATAATATCTTCACATAGATAATATAATTAAAATAATGGTATTAACAAAACGTAGTTGGAATTTACCATTAATCTGTCAAATATGTGGTGATAAAGCACGTGGAATGAATTTTGAAGTAATGACATGTATGTCATGTAAAGCCTTTTTTCGACGTCATGCTTTACAGCCGATAGTAAGTTTCACATGCAATTTACTAAAGATAATATTTTTCTTGTTTATGTTTGAATTAGTGTTTTCTTCAATGTCAACGTGATAATCACTGTGAAATAACACTATTAACACGCGGTAATTGCTCAGCTTGTCGCCTAAGAAAATGTTTTTCATTCGGTATGAATCCAAAATTAATACGTTATGAATCGAAAAACCATAATCGATTACCAAAAAATAAAAATAAAAGATTACCACAGGTTTTTTGGATTTTTTTCTTAAATTTTTATTTTTAATAATTAAAAATTCATCATACTTCTAGCCATCACCACTTAATCTTCTTCAAAGTGACACTTCAACCTTAACAAAGATTGAATGGGATCTTTTATCAAACATAATTCATGCGTATGATCGAGGCAATTCAATTGAACATACTAAAAATTTGTTGGAACAGCAAGCAGCAGTACCGCCAAAACTTCGTTCAAAAGCAAAATCAACATTAGATATAATTGGATATTATTATTCCGCAATGATATCATTCCTTGAACGTGTACCTTATTTTCATGACTTACCAATAGGTGCACGTCAAGCTCTTATTCAGCATAATTCTATTACATTAGGAGCATATAATTCACTACTTATTGTTCGCGAAGCAAACGGATTAGATTATTCAAGTTATATTGTTGGTTGTCAGAATCTTTGGGGTTATGAAAATTATATATTGTCAAAAAAATTTATTTCGACATTAGAACAAAATGGAACACTTGTTAAAATAATGCTTTTAATTACTGCTTTTTCTGAAAATTGTTCAATAGTTTCATTAGATTATACAGAAAGCATGGTAACAATGACAAGTACAAGGTCTTTGGTTCGTATACAAAATATATTGGTAACGATGCTTTGGAAGTATTTAATTTATCAATATGGATTTTTAGGAGCTGTTAAATGTTTTAATTCTTTTATTAAATATGTTTTAAATATAATTCGATGGACTGCAGCAAATCCTAGTACGCAACATTCCGATATGGTTGATACAATTGTTGAAAATACTACACGATTATTAACAATGCATGATTGAATAATTCGATTAATTTCCAATGGATCTCATTTTGTTGTCTAGTAGTATATTTTCTTATGAAAACTAAAGAAAACATATTCAGAATTATCATTCTATGTGTAAATTAATCTTTATTTGTGGTTTCTTATATGTATATGTATTTTTTCGTTATTATTTCTACGTTGGTATAATGGAAAAAATTTAACAAATTATTGGGATCAACCTACGTGAAAATTGTGAAAAACTGATGAAACTTTTTTTTGTGAAAAAAATATTTTTTTGGTTTTAAAGAAATAAATTAATTTAATTTCTCTATAAAAACTAACTATAAATATTTTTTTATTTGAATTATTGAAGTTGTATATATATATCTTATTCGGAAATCATTTTGGAATCATTAGTACGTGAATTAAATAGAAAGAAAAAGCATTTATAGTTTTGAGAAATCAAAAGAGAAATTTGACCTAGATTCATCGTAACATGTTTTCCATACGAACAATTGCAATAGATCAAAGTAACATATGACATTGACGTGTGTATTTTAACATTTTCTCCTGAGGACAAGCATTAGCAGTAGAGCCCGTCGGGTAGGACCCGGACCCGGACCCTACCCGGACCCGCACGGGTCCGGGTCCAAAAATTTTACTTTGGCCGGGTCCGGGTCCAAAAATTTTATTTTGACCGGGTCCGGGTCCGGGTCCGGGTCTGAAAATTTTGCTTTAACCGGATCCCGGTCTGAAGAAAACTTTGATCCATACAATTTATTTTGAATTTTTTTAAAGTTTTGTTCGTTTTATACAAAGAAGAGATCAAATATATTTAGAAAATAGATAAAAAACAACAAAACCCTTCTTGACTATACTATCTAAACTGACTTGTCATTGTGTTTGGATCCAAAAAATTTAAGCGACCGGGTCCGGGTCCGGGTCTAGCAACCTGTAAACGGGTCCGGGTCCGGATCCGGGTAGAAAAATTTTAAATGATCGGGTCCGGGTCCGGGTCCGGGTCCAAAAATTCTGGACCCGACGGGCTCTAATTAGCAGTATTAATAATGAGTTGGCCTCTTGAATTCGAAGAAAAAAAAGCTTTCTTTTTTTTACAGTCTACGTGAATTGAATACTAGAGTATACTTTACAATGAGCATGATAAGGATCAAAATATAATATAACAAATGTAAAAAGATCGTTTGACTTTAATAAAGCTAATTTATTGAATTAGTCAATAGTCAAACTAATCATCATAGTCTACTCATGAAAAATAAATTTGTTTTTAAAAAAAATATATCATTTCTTTTGATTAAAACTCAAAGCAGAATCTGAAATGAAATGTTCGAATTTGATCATATTTAATATTTTGTTATAAATATGGCGGATGTATATTTGATGTAATTATTTATCAATAGAAATCATAATTAAGAAAATCATAATAAATGATTTTTTATGATTCTCTATTTAAGATAAGATTGTATTGAAACTCTAAAATTGTTTTCTTTTATCATTAGTTGACTAATACACTAACCAGTCACCAAGTTTATTTTTCTCCATAACTTGTTTAAATGAAAATTTTAAAAAAAGGACATAAAAGGTAAAAAGGACATGCTGTCGTTAAAATTAGTGCAATTATCCTGCTGTGACTTTTTTCATTTATTTTCTACGTCATAACAGTCTTCTCATTAATTTGAAGGAGAATTTTTTTTTCTCTCGTTTATTTCCTTAGCCTATTATCTTAAAAATAGTATGTTTCATTTATCTAATTTTTTTAAACTTTGCTGAGCGCTTGATGACAGAGAATCTAAGATTGCCTTGACATCGAATGAATTACTAGTCATTTCATTCTTTGTTTTCTTTTGAAGAGTTTTTATGATTTTACGGATTGTACATCACTTCTAAAACAGTTGATAAATATAAGAAATTGAACTCAGATCGGTTAGAGAACAAGTCAGATCACATGAATATATTTTCTTGAAGACGAAAAAACTGAAAACAATTCAAACTACTTCATAAACACTTTTTAACTATACCAAAAGAAAGAATAGACAATATAATTTGCTTCAATAAAATCTTAAAAATCTAATTATCTTAACACGATATACTTAGTCATGTTTTATGATTGACAGAAAAAATCTTTTTTAACTATTTCGTATGCACTTATGGTTGTATTGTTATTGACATGAAAATCTTCATGTCTATATTAATTTAGGTGTTCAGAAAGATGAATATTGAGATAAATATATGGAAAGCTAGTCTGATGCCCAGTTTTTCATAAGCGACATGATTTCTTTTCTTCGACATCTTGCTTTTTTCCCGGAGTTTTGGATGATTTTTGTCATGTTCTGCCTGAAAAATATGCTTTTTTCAGACAAAGTGAGCAATTATTTTCACTGTTTCTCTCTTTATACTTTTTCGATTGCACAACCCAGAGTTCTCTATGGACTTTCATTTAATATATCGTTATGATATATGACAAAATGCTTTGTGAAAAAAGATAACCATGATATACAAAGTCTGTTAATATTCTCCATGGCAGAAACAACAGTTATCAAAGCAAAAATTAGGAATCAAAATTGACACACAAGAGTCTGTAAATAATTTTATCTTGCTATTTTATACATTTAATCTGGAACAATGAAAATCAACTTAGTTACACACCTGCTCGAATACAATATGACAGCATTATCTATTCGATGATCATGGTCATAACATTGAACTTTTTTTCATCAAAATATTGTTTAGTTTGCGAACTATTTGAAAGTTATTAATACAACGATTGATACTCTAACTGTAAGATTAAAATGTGAAACACGATATAGATGCTGATGCAAATCACAGTAAGAATATGTCCTTTTATGAAAGAAAGAGTTATATCATAGAAAAAAATCTTCGAATACATTTGTTCTTACGCTCTGCTGAACCTAATAAGAAAACAGCATACGCTAGAACAGTAGAGCTAGGTTTTATTATTGATTGAAAAACTTGATCAAAGTTACTCTAGCATGAACAATTTCAATTCGAAGTCAACTTTTATCGTATTGTTAATATTCGCAATTTTTTTTCTGATGAAATATACTAAGTCTCAGAAAGACGACAATATGTTTGTCTGTATGTCTATTCCTTTGTTCTAGGCTTCAAAACACAACATTGATACAATTTACTATGTAATACGAATGGTGTTACTTGGTTCTGATTGTATGACATGGTTGGATGTAATCAAGAGTGAACAATTGCAATCTAGCAGTCAACAGCAAGTAGTAATAATAGCACCTCTAACTAAAAACAACGGTATCTATGGATTAAAACTTGTGCAAAGAACTTGATCATAGCTTTCCAGAGTGAAGAGTTTCAGTCTGTCGATGATTCTTTGTGATACTACGTTAACTATGACTGATAATACGAGCTCTGGTCAATAATAGTTGTTTATAACAATTGTTCAAAAGATATCGAAGGTAGTGAATCTGTATGTGTTGTTCATTGCAATACTTTTTAATATTTTCTGAAAAGTCGGACCGAAAGTAATCACAAATGGTCAGTCAGACTTCCAGACCGACGTTTTCGATTTTATAATTTTTCTGTTATATAGTAATCAAGTAGATCAACCAACAAGAAAACCTGTTCATTATTAGCAATTAAATATAGATATTCAAGAAAAAACTTCACAATAGTTAATCATGGATGAAGGATCCAAATTCAAACTCAGTAACTTTTTAGCAATCCTCTCACAACTTATAGGTTGCAAAGGATCTATTCCTTGTGAGATATCGCACCAATGAAAAAGTAAACTATAAGAGTCGGATGCCGCTATGGTTTCCTAAGTAATGTAACATGCATGATACAGGCTCAAGCATAAAAATTCGATGTCAAGTTTTCTGGAAAACTTCAATACAGATACTTGAGCTAAGAGAAAGAATCGAATACAACTGTTTTTGAATTTCAATAAACGTTGTTTATAAATAAGACGCCAAATATGAATTCTACAGTGACATTTAATAAGCATACACACAACGTGCTCTATTTTTGAGCTTTTACACAGTGGATCCAGTTATCAAATTTGGAATCGAGAGTTCTATCAGTGAACATCAAGTCATTTCGTGCATGTCGTTCAAATGTAACTTGCATAGATCTTAAATGAGAAAGAACTATCAATTGAGTAATTAACTTGAACATGGGAATGGTTAGCTGCAATTAACCCCAAATGTATGATACTAATAACCATTCGTTTATTATTGATGGAACTTCATGCGGTGCTATAGCGAAGTGTACATGCATTCACCTTGATCCTGCTCTGAAATTTCAATTTAGAGGCATTTAGTCTGAGGTAGGTAGTATGAGAAAGAGAAGAAAAATCCACGCAAACGGTGAGATGTCACAGGCAAAGAAAGATAATTTCCATGCGTTGGTCATCACCACTCTATTTCTCTTCAGTCATCTCAGTTTATTATATGAAATTTAAAACATGTCGATACAATGCTTGTCGGTTGGTTTGAGTGAAAATTTATCCCTTCACACAAATCCTAAATATCTAAATGGTCTTAATTTTTCTATTCGTTAATCATTCATATAGATTCGAATTGGCGGTTGTTTTATTTGTAAATGAATTAATTGTAATATCACCGGCATTTCCATTTTTGTCGACTGTTTCTATTTACTGATACAATCAAAAAGATTTTGAAGATGCATTTGCTTTAAATCTTGATAAAATTGATGAATAACTGAGCGCAACGTTTCATTTTCTTTTGATGTCGTCTTTTTTAATTAATGATTTCATCGCATCAACAATTCTTTCCTAACGTTGCAACCAACTAATTGTGATATATCAATCAGCATAACATTCAACCGTTTATAAAGAAAATGAAGGAAGAACAGTTAAGATAAAATACTAAAATAGAGTACCAACTGTGTTGATTTTAATAGTGCAATAATGGTAAAAGAATGTAACTAATAAGAGCAGAGATGTAGATGTTCAAGTTAAGTATATAGAAGTTTTCATAATCGTCTATTATCGACCGTTCCGTTTTCATTTATTCTCTACAAAGAAGACTGATTACAATTTGTGCGATAATAATTTTGTGTATGCAGATAATAGTATATGTAGATTATCACAAGTGTGTGAATTCTGATCTTTATGTAATCAACTAGTCGATGATATCATGAAGCAACAGAACAATTCCAACTTACGTGCTGTATTCTTTCCAGTATGATAATTTCGATTGATTAAAACAACATCTAAAATGGTCTAAAGCAGCTATTTAACAATGAATTACTGTATTCATTTTGATCATAGTCCGTCAGTTCGTTTTATCAGCCTAAGGATAGTGGCGACGTCATAATGTCAGTTTTTCTCGTTTTCTAAGACCTTGATCATTGACTAATGTATAAGAACCGATATATTCTTTTTTTTACCTTTTCTTTCAATCATACATGCGTTGGAATAAACAATAATGTTGTTAACAAGAAAGATTGCATCATGTTTGTTGCTCTTATTTTTGGTGGCTGAAACAAATAAGTCAATATGTCTGTTGTTTTCTATATAATGTAAATGAAATAAAAAATTAACTAGCGTGTTAATCATTAAAAACTCGTTCGAAGTGATGAATTCCTGAAGGTTATACTTGGATCGTGACCTAAGATATGGATATTTCAAACTTCAAAAAGCTATATGTTTATCATTATCATAGAATAACCGAGTTTTTTATGATTTATTTTCGTATTTTCCTACTATCAGCCATTATTCCTTAATTAATCAGATAAAATATCTGGAAAAAAAAATGATGATAATGATTATCAATAAAATGTAACTCTACTTTTTAATGTTGTATAAAAGAGAACTTGTAGTCAAAGTCATTATTCAAATAATAAAGAATCAAAAAGTATTAATTATCAATAGGTAAAAATAGATCGAACTGAGCCAAGAACTGGAAATGTATGTGTCCAGTTCATGAATCGTTTGCTCCTCTGTTCATTTACATCCTCTTGTTAATAACATTGGTTTTGAACTCGTTTATCGCATCATTTTCAACCATGACTATATTGTTCTTGATGCGAAAACTATCTACCTTCGAATATGATGTAGAACGAGATTTTACATTCTATAAAATTGAAATTTAATAGTGGATTATTCATATTGTAATTTACCAAAGATCAACAGTCACACTAGCGACTCTGTCACTTATTATAAGTCATATGCAGGAAATTACTCGTAGGAAGACACAACAAAAATTGCTTCTAGTTATATTTGATGCAAATATTGCCTAGAAGATGTGTACGATAATATAATGTGAACTTTTATATGAGAAATAATGAAACACTTTCAAATTTTTGCATGTTCTCTATTATTGAATCTTTACTATTTGAAAAAGTTCTATATTGTTCCATTGATCGTAATATTGATCATTATAAGCTTCTCAATAAAAGAAAATAAGACTAGTGTTTCACAGGATTGTAATAGAACAATCATGAATAGTTTACCTATTCAGCTTAAATTAAATAAAATATGAGAAAGAGAAAGAGAAAGAGAAACAGAAAGAGAACTTGTGACGATTTGACATGAAGTGAGATGAATATCTTCTCTTGGTTTTAAATAAGAAAATGTAAATTATTATGTGTTCATAATAATCATACTGTTATTCATTTTCAGATGACATCGGCTTATATGTTAATAACACAACTACATTATAAAAAAAATTAAGAAAACTTACCATTAAATCTACGTGTATGATAAAATAGGCTAAAATAGAATTATAATGGCACGCATATTTATATATTACATATAATCAATATTGACTATTTAAAATCATGCCAAATTGGCTCGTCTGTGTTTAGTGTTTTTTCAGTGTTTAGCGTTTTCTAAATATTCCGAAAATTGTCAGGCATTTATAAAGAAACTACTCAATTGTGCCATTTTTTCCTGATAACCTTGAAATATTTGACATAGCATTCCTTTTTTATTTCTGATACTCAAAGATAATTGATATAGAGCACTGTCTTAAATTAACACTGCATTATTTTTTCTTGCTTGTTTTTCTAATATGTATTAATAGATTGAATTTCTTCATCATGAAAAAATATCTTATTATATTGTATTGGAGAATGCAGATCTTTTTGTCAATTGTGTTTGACTGAGAACAAAAAACTAGTTCGAAAACTTGAATCAAACATAGGCTTTAACAATAACAAATCAACATAGTCATGTTGCAATTACATGATAGAGAGATATTTATTAATTTCTATTTTTTTTTATTTCCCAGTCTTCGAAGACTTTTAGCGACTAAAATATCATGCAAGAGAACAGCAGATTACAATATTGAGTCTAGTTGCTTTTCTTTTTTTATGAAGTAAATTTCAGAGATAATGTGAAAGACAGAATATATGTTAATTCTATTGGAAAGTCTATCATGATGAGAATCGATGACATATGTTATTTTGAAGAAAGAATAAAAAATTCATTTTCTACTTATATTTCCATTATCGTTCTATGTTCTCTTTTGACTAGAAGTGGGTTAAAAGATCCTTTTTTTTTCTTTTCTCTATTTTACTTAAAAATAGCAACCAGTTTACATCTCTGAATAGTACATTCGTGTTAAACAGCGTTTTTTTCTTCAGTTACATACTGCGTCTTCATATCTTTTCTCTGTTATAATTAGTGATGCGTAGTGACATGATAATTTGCTCTTTTTCTCGACCATTGTATCTTATTTTATAATGAATATAGATTTTGATTAATGTATCTAGTCTATGAAAAAATTATGAAATTGGAGTGCTTGACGCTCATTTTATTTCATTTAAATATTCTATGAAAATCTCTAGTATCACATTTACCGTATGCATAGTATTCTTTTGAAAACAAAAATGCTCTGTTTGTTTTGTTTATCGAAGAATGAATATAAGAATGATAATAAGTGTATTCGTGACTAATAGTCAGAATATTTATTCCAAAGAGAAAAAACTTTGTGTGATTTAATATTCTGAGAAACATGTTTAGTATTTATATTTATGAGTTTGTTTTTTGAACAGAATATAGAAGAAAATGTACCTTTTCTCGTACGAAGAGCACATATCTGGATCCTAGTATAATTTGACTAGTGAATACATACGTAACCTTAGAAGTTCCTTCCATAAACGAGCGAAGAAAAAAAAAAGAATTGTCTTCTATTTTTATAATCATTCAGATATTCTCTTCATGTCAATAAAAACCTATCCAAGAGCTCCGTTATTATTTTTTTTAGCTAAAATACAACGTCTTATTCTCTTGAATCAGTTTTTGTAGACATCACTTTTTTTTGTTTCATTTGCTATTATAATATAGACTTTTTTTGTTGGATCTGAGTAATTGCGTTGTAAGATATATTTTTTACATTATAAAATCCTTTGCGAATGAAGTAATCTATTAATTTGAGCTATCATTATTTTTAATGCTATTTTTCTTTTTCATTCACTTAGATTTTTTGACCTGTTTCCATATGTCATTCATTTTTTTTTCCTCCATAAAGAAAAAATATTGTAAGAGACTTGTTGTCATGCTTTACGAATGATGCATCTAAATATTAGATTACTAGTTTCTTGTTTTCATATTTTTAGTGACTTGATTTAGGTAAACAACTTTGGAAAAAATGTCTTTTGTTAATTAGTATACGCATTAATAATTTCATAAACTTTTCCAAAATTCATATCGATACCTGTCCGTTTATAATAATTTTAAAGAAAAATAATAGAACTAGAAATCTATTTGAATAAATACCATTTACTTCAACAAATATTCACTTTTTCTTTTTTATTTTGTGGATTCCTGTCTTCTCGTGATGTCTAAAAAACATGAGACATACTCAATTCGATAAATATTACAAAAGTACTTTGAAGAAATGACGTACTTTGATACTATTATAGTTTCACTAGAGTTTAAGACGTTTTTTTCCTCTCACTCGAACAATAGCACAAAATTACACGTTCTTTGTATATTTCTAAAGAAAGATAAAAATAGAAGCAATATATTGCATAATGGTGAGCTTTGTTTTATTGAAATTTAGTTCCTGACTCGAAGAAAGAAATTGTAGGAAGTAAATAAAAAAAATCTGCTATATTCTTTTAACTTATTTTTTTAGAAAATAATTGTTTCCAAAAGATAAATTCTTGATCAATCTTCATGAATTCTTATGAATATTTATAATATACATAATTAGATTTATGAGAAAGACCCATGAAAATTTCTTAAAAAGTAACTCTCGTCATATTAAACTTGTCTCTTGAAAATTAATCTAATAATCATCAGAACACTGCAAATTTTAAGTAAAGGATATGCTTCTCTATCAAGATGTCTTACTTCTCATCTCTTCGTAATTTATTTTGGATTCGTCAAGATATCCAATATTTCGACAGAAAAAAGTCTTTTCTATCAAAAACATTTCCGTTGAGATCATTCATAAGATTTTATGAATTAATATAAACAGTACTGTGTATCATAGTTTTACTACAAAAGTAACAGGAAGACGTGCTCAACATTCTAATGAGGACTTATAAACAGTTTCTTTCATTTTTATAGAAATCTAGCAATGTATTTACATGTAATTATTTCTATACTTTAGTAAATTCTATACATTGGAAATTCACTATTTTTCAAAAAATTTTATTGATCTAAATAATTTTAATAATGAACCTAAAACATTCAAAATCCAAACAACAAGTTTCATCTCCATTGATTTGTCGTATATGTGGTGATACAGCACGTGGTCTCAATTTTTCAGTTATTTCATGTATGTCATGTAAAATGTTTTTTCGACGGCATGCACAATCATCATTAGTGAGATAATTATAGAATACAAAACATCCTTTGAAATATTCTTTATTTAGTTAAAACAACGATGTCGTTTCGATGGTAAATGTATTATAACACGAAAAACCCGAAAATGTTGTTTACCATGTCGATTACAACGATGTTTTCAAACTGGAATGGATATACAATTAATTCGTCATTCTTATGAACGAAAGAGAATAATTGAATTATCAAAGGTTTATTTAAATAAATATTTTTTATTTATGTCTAATTATGTTATATTTCAGCCTAGCTCTCTTAGCCTTCTTGATCAAGATCGTTCAACATTAACGTCAGATGAATGGAACCTACTATCGAATATAACTCATGCTTATGATGACCAAAATCTATTTACAAAAACAAACGAGTTTTTTAAAAATCAAGTTTCTTTACCACCTAAACTTCGTTCTAAAGACTCGAATACTCTTAATTATATTGGATCATTATTTGCTACTATGCATATATTTATTGGACGTTATCCTTTATTTCAATCTCTACCTATTAGTGTTCGTCAAGAATTAATCAAACGCAATTTAAATGCTGTTGGTGGTTTTAATGGATTTTTTCTTGCTAAACAAATGAATGCATTTGAAAATGAAATATATTCAAAATTTATTGATAATATCTATGGTTATGGATATTCAAATAGTGTTATTAAGGCAAGTCGACGTTTACAACAAAATGGAACATTAATTAAAATATTGTTAATGATTATGGCATTTTCAAGTAACTGTGCTCTTGTTACAATAGATTATATTGAAAATATTCAAATAATATTGAATCCAAAAATTTTCATATATATACAAGATATAATTGTAACAATGCTTTGGAAATATTTAATTTATCAATATGGTTTTAATGAAGCTACAATCAGATTTTTATCATTAATTCAAAGTATTTTAGATATGATTAAAAGAATGGCTGATGGTTTAAATGTACAAAAACATCGGAATATGATTGGAAATGTTGTTAAACAAACAACACGTTCATTAGAGTTAGAAAATGGTTCATTGCAAAACTAGCATTTATTTATTTATTGCTGTTGTTGCTTGAGTCAAATTCTTTTCTGATGAATAAAATTTCTTTTTTTTTTCAGTTGTAATAACTGAAATTACACACAATATTTTATTATCTATATTATCATTTCGTTGTGTTTTTGCTCCATAAAAGTCTTAGAAAAGAATCAAAAGTAGATTTCTCACTGTGATAATTAATTAGTAATATGAGTTCAAGACGACGACTGGTGTATAAGAAATTGCCAGAAATAAAAGAGTCTAAAAGAATATAGACAGATGTCTGGATAATGTAGTATTACGAATTTTTTTTTTATTACAAATAGGTTTTAAACATATGATTGCATACCTCGTATTGAAGTCAATATAACCATTAACTTAAACCGAATGAAAATAAAAATAATGAAAAAACGTGTAATATGAACTTTAACAAAGAAAAGGTTAGAAAAATATACACGAGCTAATTCCATTCAAACTATTGTTTCAAACTATTTAATCTTTCTATTAAGACCTTACTCCTTGAAAAAAAGAGGTCAATTTTCGTCGAAAAAATTGAAGTCTTGAGATTAGCGAATAGGAAGACAGCTCGAGGTCTAGTTTTTTCATAAATATTTACTGCCTTATTTTTTTTGTCAAAACTTTTCATGACTTCCATCGTTTGCTACTTGAAAAATATGTTTTATTTATCGTGCGACCTGGAATTCTATATATATATATTTTTTTTTTGTTGGTTTAAAAGAGCATGTCAAAATGGAGGACAAGACAGAGTCTTTTTTTCGAATTAAACTTCATTGATATTGTATAAAAGTACTTTTATAATTAGAGCACAACTTTTTTTAGACATTGAACTTTTCATCCTTTTTTCTGCTTGAAAAATTAAAAATTTAATAACGGACTCTGACATACTCTGCACTTGCTCTTTCAAGCAAAAAAAATTAAATGTATAGAACGAAAACCCACTGAGAATTTTTAATTGCAAATTGAACTATTTTTGACCTTTGTTTTTCTAATATCACTTGAGAAGGTCATGTTATAAGTTTGAAAATTCCATGCGGCTTGAATTTAGTCGACCCAAGATCCATTTTGAAGCATACCAATCTTTTTAAACATATACAGTACTCTGTATCTCTTTTATGACCATGTGATATATGACCCATGTAATAATCAAATAGAGATACCAATGATTATTGATCATGAATTAGAAAGAAAAAAAAACAATGTGTTGTGTTTTCTGATTGGAGTAATTGGTGGATGTACATTTCAAATTATATATTATCAATGTAGAACTGACATGAACTTTATTGTTATAGAGTTGACATAGTAAATTCAGTCTTTGACAATTATTATGATTAAAATGAATAATAGCATTTATATTGCCGTGAAAACTAGATTCTTTAAGACTTTCTTCTAAAAACAAAACAAGTCCTTTTCCGTCCGAATTATTAGACGTAAAATGAACTCATAGAACGATAGGTTGACAATATCAGATCTTTCATAAGCAACATAATTTTTTTATCTAGTTTTACATGGTTCTTTCCAATAGCTTTCAATGATTTCTGTTACATTCTGCACCATTCAGAGAACGAAAGAAATTTTTTTCTGTTTCATCCTTTCTGACCGCACATTTTAAACTTGTAGAAACAACTGCATTGTAGCGAATTACTTTTTTTGGAAAGAAGATGTGAAACTGTAGTGCTGAGTGAAATCGGTTTCTTGAATTAAGCTTTTCTAATATATAATCAAAATAGCACTCCTATAAATAGAAATTATCGTTTTTTCTAGAGTTTTTCGATATATTGAACATCTTATCTCTTTTCTCTACGGAAAAAGTAAGAATGAAAAAAGAAACAGGCCTGCAGTCTGACATGAACTTTCAAATAAAAAAGACTTCATACATAAAATGAGAGCCCCAAGAGAATTTTTCGCTGGCAAATTAAGTATTTTTGACCCTTGTCTATTTAATTTCTCCCGAAAACATCATAATAACTTTAATATACATTGCTGAAGAGCAATTTTTAAGGGTAGGAAGTCTTAAGTTGTTGAGAATATAGAAAAGCAAAATCAATATCTTCTCAATAGTAACAGATGCTATTAACACAACGATTGTTTTTCAATTAGTACTTATCTCACAAGAATTCAAGTGTTTTTATGATATCCAATGTGACCATATCTAAAATATGTTAACCATTTTGAAATACATCTACACACATGTACCTTCTTATTATTGATAGTCAACTAACTCTTAATCTATGTATCTCATCGTTCATGTTATAATCAATAGAATAATCTCGAAATATATTTTATTTATTTAATATCTTAGAATGTCTGCAGTCGTGTGTATTCAATTAAATATTTTTATCATAAGTAGAATATAGATTTGAGAAATCCATATTATTTTCATGAATTTAGCAGACAACTAAACTAAACATATGTGTAAAGAGAGAGTTAACAAATTTAAGATATCTTTTTTTTCAATTAGTGCTTTATTTTTATTCAATTTGTATGGTTACAGAAACTAGACCCTAAGTCTCGGTTTTCAATCGCTTTTGCATTTTTTACAATTAACGAGAGAAAATGAAATTCGATAAACCGTCGAGTCAGTCAATAAATAGTATATGTGAAGAAACCAATTAGTGTTGTGGCACGAAAGTCATTCGCTTTGATCATCGATAACACAAAGAATAGTGCTCGGGCAGAATATCGAAACTCTAGAATCTGCCTCAAGAGTCAGATGGCAATGCCATTCAGCCAGCCTAGGCTAATATCTTTCTTCATATATTACACTAATCTCATAAATTATTACACTTAATAATTTAACTATCAACTAAAGAGAAAAAGACGCCATTGTTTTCTTGCTATGTGTTCCGTGACCAATCAATAATAAGTTTAAAGCTATAATTTTAACATTTATATTCTAACTGCAACTGAGTTTCTTCCAAAAGAAAAAAAAAAAGAAAAGAAAGTAGATTCATATACAGATATAAAACTGAATAATAGAATATTCCAATACAGATAGCATTTAAAGAAGGAATATATAGATATAATTTTTTTTTGGCGACAGTTGTTGAAGAAAAGAGAATTATCTTGATTACAAGGAATTGTTCCAATGCCGACAGACTTCCGGTCAAGCAAGCTCTGCATATTAAAAATAGAGATTCATGCGCATGAGGTCAGATAGGAAAAAAAACGATAGATTCAATTATTATTAACAATTTTACTCTTTTTGTCCGTCGTTGTTACATAAACTTTTAAATTTAAGAAAATCTAACCAATTTATTTAAAAATCATGGATAAAAAATTGATATACATTTATCTGCAACAGTGTTGACTCGATCAGAAAGTTTGAGGAGTATAATATCTATTAATCGACGAAAATTTTTGTTTTTTCCCAATATAACTGAAGTTCTTTTTTTTTGCATTCTGGTGGTAGAAAAATACACCATTAATCTGCGATTTAAACAGTTTCACTACGGATCATTCTACTGGCATTGCTCGAATGGCTTTTTTGGAGTCTCAATGATTAGAAATATCATTTGAAGCGTATCGAATTATAAGCAAATAAATCGAATTGAATGCATACTTTTTCCTTTTCTCAAGTACTTATATCAGATTCTTTGTCAATACTTAAGAATCATTCCAAGTGACACCATTGATTAAGCAAATAATATAAGATAGGTATGATTCATTTTCCTAGTCAGTTATCTTATATTTTAAATTATATTTTTCATGAATACTATTGCCAACCACAAGATCCTGAATTTTTATAAAAGTCCATTGAATCATTATTTCTATTTGGTTCTATGTACGTCTGATTGCATTTATGTTTATCCTTTTTTTTCCATTTGATAACATCAACATACTTCAAAAAAAAAATACAGGTAAAAGAATGAAAAAAACTTAGTAGACCAATAGAAATATTCTATTCATATGAAGGCCATGTTCATCGTTTGTGCATATCGTTTCCTCTCTTCTTTTTTCCTTTTCTCGGTTGTCTGTCGCTCTTTTACATCTATCATCAATCAGTCAGAGTCTGCACGACGATGATCAAATTACATTTTTCTCTATACGCGCTTCGAGTCCGCCAACGAGAGTGCGGCATTTTTTTTTCTGCTTCTTTTTGTTCGTTCGTGCGCTTGCTCGCTCGCGTTAATGGTGGTAAAGAAGAAAAAAAAGAAAAATATTCATCCAACACAGTGTACCAACGCACACATATATAACTCATTCGGTCGCAAAATATAACGAGAAAGCTGTCTTCCTTTTTTTTTTCTTTTCTTTCTTTCTATTATTTTCTATGTGATGTGTAGATGGATGGATGTAATGTTGCAAGGCTCCGAAAGTAGTGCACACAATGTGTGATGTATGAGAATGCAAGAAAAACCTAGTGAGTATTATAGATAGAAATCAAAATACGTCATATTTTTTTTCTAATTTTTGTATCGTTAGAAACTATAATAGTTTTTATTTTTTTCAATTTAAAGCTATGAGAATGATATGTATGTCCACGATAGTATTATGTTGTCGTCAAATATCTATAGTAGTAGGTTTGTTTACATGAAGACATTCCAATAGATGTTGTCTGCACGAACTTTTCTTCTTTTTTGTTCTTCTCCTCCTTATTGATGGGCGATGATTATCCTCGGTTGCCCGCGTCGTCGTCGACCGTTTGGCTCGACCATCATTCTTGCGTTAGTGACGACCCACGACGTCGTCTACTAAGCTACTACTACTACTAGTAGTAATAGAAAATTCAACTGCGTCGCGCTACCGCTTTTACTTCTTCTTCTTCTTCTTCTTCTTGTTCTGTTCTCTTCGTCTTGATCGGGACAAAAAGGGACGTGCCCGCTATTGCTCCCGCCGCGTTTTTTTGATACTCTACTATATAGGAAGAAAGAAAGGTTGAACCTTTTTCTTTTTTTTTACACTGCCCTAATGCTTGATTGCTTTTTCTCTATCGTTTGTGTGTTGTGTGTGTGTGTGTGTGTACACTTATCAGAACAACTCGCGTTCGCGCCCGCTTATGTTGACTTAGTCCAAATGAGTAACCCTACTGTCTGCCTATGACTAACTAAACATGCTCAAACACGAAAAGACAACAAAAAATATCGTTCAATTATAAAACATCGAATTAGTTTTTGCTCTTCATTTTTATTTCTAATTGTTTGCAGGTGTTGGCTCAATTTCATATATTGTTATCTCGTATACTTCATCTTTTATTTTTATAGCTTTTTTTCCTACATTGATATAAGATACTCATTTCAATCATATTGAATATAGTGTGAAAAGCTTATTTCATGTTCGTAGTAGTTTTGACAAGTCATATGTGATTTATTACCAATGAAAATAGACATTATATGATTGATATTTTAGATGGGTAAAATTGCTGTTGACTCTCTTCTTATTAATTCTCTATTCAAATGTCCCCTATGTCATGGACTTATACGTTCACCTACAGTTATAAATGAATGTCTACATCGATGTAAGTTATTATTATTATTATTATTATTATTTTGTTTGTTCTATTAATCAATCATAAATTAGTTTGTAAATTATGTATAACGACTCATTTCGAAAACAAAAATAATAATAAATGTCCAAGTTGTCAAATAAGTATTTCTAATCCATTGGACACACTTAAGTAAGTATACATATATAATAAATAACAAAATGTTTGAATTATCTATAAACATATTTAGATCTGATCTCATCTTTCAACGACTTCTATATAAAATATTTCCATATATTTTTCAACGTAAATTAATTATTATTGTAACTAATTTATTCTTATTATATTTTTTCTTTTATAGGTGAAATCGCGTGCAAACCTTCTTTACTATCATCATCAATTACTAATGGTAATGGATGATTGGGTTTTTTGCCCGAAAGAAATATTCTTTCTTTTTTTCTTTTTTATACTTTAGAATCGACACGTATTCATATCGATTCAACAATTGATGTTTATCTCGAATATTGGGATATGTAAGTTTATTTTTTTTGTATGTTCTCAATATTGGACGAATTAAACACGAAATTTAAGCTATGCTTTCATTGGCTAAATTTCGTTTCCGAAATACGAAAAAGAAAAGAAATTAACCAATTGATATTTATATATATATTTTCTTTTCAGTTCATTGGATCTATTTCCAAATAGTAATAAATCATCATCTATAACAGTAAATTGATTTTTATTAAAAATTATGTAATATATTTTCTTTTTTTTTTTTTTTGTATTCTTGAATAGTTATCTCCATGTTATTTGGAATGTAAAGCTAATACACCATTATCATTATTAGAAAAATTTATTCGAACAAAACATTCAATATCATCTGAACTTGAAGTAAAAATGAAAACAACTTGTTTTTTGAATTTATTCAAAACTTTCTTTTATTTAGATTGATCTGTTTCATAAAACATTTTTATTAGATACAAATAATGAAAAATTAATTGATATTTGTTATTGTTTTGATCGTATGAATAAGGTAAATTATTTTTTGTTTTTATATATTCAAAAAGATAATTATTAGTTTTTTCTAGAATCAAACACTTGATATTCGATTTCTTGTTAGTCCACATGGTTATAAAGCAATATTAAATCATATACATCAATTAAGACATCCTGCTCCATCATCAATTGAAACCGTTGAACAGATGCCTCTTCAAATTGTTGTTCCAGAACAAGAAAATCCAACAGCTTCATCTTCTTCGTCATCATCATCATCATCAAATTCTAGTTCAATCGATCCAAAATTAAAAGTCAAAATTCGTCGATCTCAAACATCAGCAAATGATTGGTATATTCCACAATCAAAAGTACCTAATGAACCGGTTGAATTACCTGATCTAGTCAATTCATGTGAAACTACAACAACAATAATAAAACGTAAACAACCTATATCAAATAACTCAAATGTATCATCAATAAAAAAGAAACCTTGTACGACATCAACATTTTTTTCTGTTGGTCATATATCACAACCAAAACGAACATCATCAGTAAAACCTCGTACAAAACCTCGACGACGTACACGTTTTATTCCAACAATGGTTAAAGCTCCTCCATCAATATTTGATCGTATATCAATTAATCAATATGATTATAGTGATCAAGATTCAGATAATTCACCAATTTGTTCAACAAATGAACTTCTTGAACAATCTGTAACAACATTACGACCATCTGAAATGGTTATTGTTAATGTTGAAGGCAATGTAACAGATTCGTCAGAAATAAAACGAACACAAAAAACCATATGTAAAGTACCACCCTATATACCTGAAAGTTCATCAATAATAAATTCTCCACCAGAAAAATCTTCAACAATTGTTAAACCAACACCAATTTATCCAACATTTTCACCAATAAGACGTACATTATTACCGAAAAAAATTCCAACTATTATCCCAACATTACCTAATCGAACACCGTCACCAGAATTAAATAATATAACTCCGCTTGATTTAAGTTTGAAATGAATTTATTAATGAAGAATGTCAGATATATAGACATTTGGTTTTTCCTTTTTTGCATTATGTATGTATTTTTATTCTATTCGAGATAGATCGAACAGTGATTAATTGAGTTCATTTTCTTTGGTTTTGTTTTTCTTTTGTGTACCTATACCTTTGATTCTTTGTTGTTTGTATGTATGAACCGAGTTGAAAGAAGAAGAACATAATCGTTTGATTTATTTCATTATATTTCATGTAAATCATTTTATTGCTACGATAAAAAAAAAAGGAATAATCTTAAAGAAAAACAAATAAATAAACGACATTTTATATTTAAGTATTGAAATAACAGATTTTTTTTCTCTTATTCTTCACCAACACAATTAAATTTACCATTCAATGTATAAACTTATCAAGGATGTAAGTTAAATCTGAAAAAAAAATCTTTTCAGCATCATCACAATAGTAATCGTGAAGAATAAAAGTTGTAATAGAATGACAAAAAAAAACCGGAATCAAAACTATGCATACCAAAAAATTATATGTTTCTTACTATATGATACTAGTATGTATCTAATATAATTCTTGCATAGTTTGATAGTTGGAATCTGGTAAGATCTAATATAATCTTATAAGAACATAATTTTAGTTTTGTCTTGTGCAAATAGTTTTAATCAATTTTGGAAACAGCGAGCTCAATTCTCTCCACTCCCTTCAACCCAAAATCCTGGCTCTATTACTGATTTTTATATCGATTGTTTTATTCATTAAAATAAATATTTTAGAGTTAAATGCATCCTAACTTAAACGCTATGTCTTTTAGAATTGAAAATAAATCTTCTCAATATAGGTGTTTACCTGTTTAAAAAATTATGCAACAGATCATTTTATTGATTTGATGAAATTTAAGCAAGTTTGTTGTAATTTTAATTACTTATTTCTTTATTGTAAATCATCTTATCAATCATATTCAATAGAAGCAAAATTTATTATATACAGGTTCAATTTAACAGCAAATATCGAAAGAATGTTAATTGATAAAAGATAAAGCTTTATTTAAAATGAATATTTCTTTAGGATAGGTGAGGAAGAACGGAGAAGGTAGGCTTCACCCTCTTCTGCCTATTAGAACAATTGATTGCGATAAAAAAGAACAAAACTTGGAAAATCATCCATGAATCTTATAAAGTTTAACATTAAAAATTATACAAGAATCTTTTCTTTTTATTCCCTCTTCTAATGAATAGTAGTAGCACGCCATGAACACATCTACTAATATCACAGACATACTGAAATACATTATTTCTTCACCAGCCGCTTATCATTGTGTTCAATGCACTAGTCTAAACGCTTTCGAACGAAACATTTAAATAAATTTCAAAAAATTCTATATAATGATTGGATATAATCTATTATACATACAATATATGTATACAAAAGAGAAGTAAATTTAGGCGTATTGGGAATGCATTTCTCTTTTTTTTTTTTGAGGAATTTTTCTCAGTAAAAGATGAGTTCATGATTAGCAAAGACAATGTTCGAAAACTGATTTTTTACTTTGATTCCTTTCTATCTCATTGTCTATTTGATCAATAACAAAGATTCGCAAGATTAACATATAGAAATGATCTAACTCAGAGAAGATTTTGAGAACAGTTTACTGTAATAATAACTTTTCATAATCTTGTTTTTTTTTGAGAGTTTTCATTTTGTGCATTTTCCCATCGACTTGACTCGTGAAGCACAATAATGAAATCGAATAGATACTATTTATTTTATTCAATATGAATACTTAATTTCTATTGGTCAAATTAAAATAATTGTGATAGTAGACATTTCATCTTAAAAAAAAACGAAAACGGATCTAGAAATCAATTCTACTCTGTTTCATATTAGATTCTTCTTTTTATACATGTTTGTTATTGAAACTATCGATAATCTTACTTTAATTTAACAATGCAAAAATAAGCAAGTAAACGATAAATGACAATAATTGTTGGACAAAGGTCATGAAACAATGTTGTACAAAGTATCATATTGGTTTTGATCGGCTAAAAATATTTATTATTCGGCTCATAGCTTTGCTTTTGATCTTGTTCATTGCCATAATGAGATTGAAAAATATGAAATAGATTCAATGACAGTACGATATGAAAAGTTATGGAATAATAAATAAAAACAAAACCAAGCAAACTATATTTCTCAGTCAATTCTTCTGAAAAGAGAACTGATCAAGTTTAGAGAACGTTCAATGCATCATTTTTATTTTGGACACTTGTTCTTTTTTATTAATACATAAAAATATATTTCATAAAGTAATATTACTCTGAAGTAACACAATGATAAGTGGAAGAACTATTCGATGAAAGTCATTTGTTTTTAAAGAGTATGTTTTACATTCGAATTTTAAAAGAGCGAGCAAGAGCTTTTATGCCTACAAAGTCAACAATAAAATATATCTTAACGATGAATATTAAGTGAAAATTTTCGGTTTTGATTAAAGCTATTCGATATAATGATTACAAGTCAAGAATAGACAAAAAAATCCAAAAGATGTCGTTAAGTATCCTTTACCTTTATCGTATTTCAAGAAGCCTATCTGGTTTTCTTTGAAGAAAACTAGTTTTGTTCTTCTTGATCATCTTTACATTCAATAACCTATCCTTGAATAGTGAACAATTCCTATATTGTACATAGTTATGGTTTGGTTTGAGTCACAGTAAGATTTTTTTCCATAAAAACGTTAGTTTTTACTATTCAGATTGTTCTAAATTTTTCTCGAAAAATTTTTACTCTGAAAAACTAACAAATTTTATATTACCTAATGGAATTTCTCGGATTGATTCTAAATCTATGGTTACTGTAATCTAATAGTACTTTTGAATGAAGAACAAACCTGATAAATCAAGGCATTTTAGAAAGTCTATATCTTAATTTTGAAGCATTTGTGCATATATAGTAGTCGTGTCAAACGTGAAAGAACGTTGGGTGAAACATTTCATTGAAATCTGACCTATACTTAAGTATGCCTACTCACTTCACTAAGCACGTCTATTTATAACACCTCAGCGGAGAAAACAATGGTGATTTTTTTTCATTGAAAGTCTTTGAGAGATTTTTTTACTATTAAATTTTCTTCACGAATTCACAAAAGTCGAGACACGTACTTTTTATTTCTTATCTAGTTGAATTATTTATAATGATACATTGCAATTAGAACAATTATGATTCGAATTAAATCAATAGATTCTTTCATTTTTATCAGGGAATGATTTTCATGTTACAGCCCAACAGAAATATAACGAAGAAATAAAAAGGAAAGAAGAAAGAAGTGCGATCTGTACAAGTTGGCCTAAAGGCGAAGATGCAAAAAAACGGAAAAGTTTTTCAAATCAAAACTATTCATAGAAAAAGCCGCATGGTTTTTGAAAGTGAAGGTTACATTTCCTTTCCCATCGATTCTTCTCGGCATCATAATGACTAATGCAGTAATCCTAATGAATGCACTCATGCAGCAAATACAACTAGCCTTATAGGTATTCCATGTATTTGTTTTAGTAACTTACCTGTTTGTTTTGTCTAAATATTTATATTCTCAAGAGATTACAATTACTAGTTAAATTGCTTTCATCGATAATATATGGAAAGAAATCAAACTATATTTCATCTTCACTTTTCAGTAATTGATAATTTTCTACTTTTTCTTTTTGTACTGATCAGACTGAATTCAAGCAAAAGTTGTCTTATTCTAGAGTACCTACTAGACCACTAAGCTTGCCTGTCAGGCCTGTATTTTTTTTCTATGATATCAAAGTTTTATTTCATAAAGTGAATATATTGCTAGAGACAAAATACAGCTAAGTTAATTATCATGGATAACATTTAAATACAATGAATTTGATAAATATTTCAGAATCAATATTGGGGATACTTATACACAATTAAATCTAATGCAATTCGAAGAATTCATCGACATCAATTTCTATATTTATTTTTATTTGCTTGTCACCTCTTTTTATTACAGTTAATGCAACTAAGATTGAACAATTTTTTTCTACAGCGGATTTAACAATTATTAAATGTCATTCCATTCTTCATTATCATACTGTAAGTGGAAATTTTGTTTGTTAGATTCATTAAGAATGTTTTTTGAACAAAGGTCAGACTTTTGTTTTCTCAACAATCATGTTTTTCCTTTTTTTAATTTTGTTTTGTAACACGCCTATTCAATTCATAAATGTTTAATCTAAGATATAAACTTCCATTATAAAAATTTCTATAATGTGAATACCTCATTACAGTGAGCACTTTGGATTCTTGCTCAGTGACTTTTGTTTGAAATAGACAGCTCCTTAGTGAACATCTTCCTATGGTTAATTATCAATGGTTTTTTTGACTTCAACCAACTAGAAAAACTATCTTAATGTGAATGGTTTGTTTTGTTCTATTCGGATTCTTACATGCTTTTGTGCACACATAAGAAGGAAACAGCTCTGTATAGTGAATACTTCAATATTGTCATGAATGTCTACATTAAAGAGCTTTTACTTCAGTTATGTAAATTGGTTTCGGTCACTTGTTAGACTTTCCATAAGGATTCATACTTAATTCTATTGTATTATTGTAATAACATTGGCATGAGAAAAAAATAGGCAGACTTTTTCAGATCGGCAGACCATGTTGAAGAAATAAAATGACAGATACAAACAGCCTAGAAACGATGTAGGTCAGACCTGCAGAAATCGTCACGAATAACATTCTTCAGCGTTGAGTTTAGACAGAAAAAAATGTTATATTGATTGAGTCTGAATTAGCAGAGTGCACTATTCACATCAACATATCACATATTACTTAAGGTACAAGTTATTCCTGCAGTAGTTGATAACATTTTTTTTTTAACATAACATTTTTTCATAGAATTGTACAATATGAGAATTATTATAACTCACAAGAGACACTGGATAATAAAATTTATATATTCAAAAATTAAATTGTATCTATTTTGATAAACAAGAACGTCTTTCCCTGTTTAAATAGACTTGATTTCTCTATTATAAAGGTAGATTATTTAGAGTATCTGCAGTCATCTGAATAATGAAAATAATTGCGTAGTTTCTCGTCATTCAAAACCGACGTTCTATCCTCCAAATTCTTCGGTTGACAAAAGCACGATTGCTAATAAATTTTCTTTTCTGAGCGGCAACCGAAAGTTTTTTTTCTTCTTATTCTTTCATTATTTATACTAAACAAAGTAAGAGTACTCATAACCCTAAGAACTACATGAAGTCACATTGATAATATATAAAATACTGTAAAACAAAAACATCTGAATCATTATAATATTGTAAAAAGATTACCAATTGTTGAATCATTTCAATCGTATACACTCCTATTCAAACACATAATCATTTAATACTAATGAATTCTAACAGTATAAAAACGAAACATTTATTTCGTTCACCATTGATTTGTCGCATATGTGGTGATGTGGCAAGAGGTATGAATTTTGATGTCATGACTTGTATGGCTTGTAAAGCTTTTTTTCGACGAAATGCTTTGCAACCATTAGTAAGTTTCTATTTTTATCTTATAAAATTACCTATATGAAACCATTGAATAGGGTACGTCACAATGTACACGAAAATCTAATTGTGAAATAACAGTAAAAACACGAACAAAATGTCCAGATTGTCGTTTAAAAAAATGTTTTCAATCAGGTATGAAAGCACAATTGATTCGTTCTGTTACTCGACATCAAACCGTTTGTTATGATGTTCGACAAGTACTAACAACTAACAAACAATATATTTCATTGCCAACAGTGAGGTTTTTCAAAAATATTTCTTTGGCTATTTTGTCTTTTGTTTTTGCATTCTATAGCCTGAACCACTTGATTTCTTTCAAAATAATCATTCAATTCATATTACTGAACAATGTAATCTTCTTTCAAATTTTATGCATATCGATGATGAACATAATATGTTTAATAATATTAAATGTTTATTTATTAATGGATCATCTTTACCAGCAAGACTACCTGTCGAATATTATTTTCATTGAATTATATTAACTTATACATATTATACATTTAAATAAAAATCAAATGAATATCTCATTTTCTAGAAATTCATTCTCGTCAAACATCGACCAAGGATACTATATATCTCACTAGTCTTTTTAAATGGAATTTTCAATTAGTCATAAAGTTGATCTTTGGAAAAAAAAAGATTTTGTAATATTCTAGAATATTTTGTTTGTAACGAATTATTTTATACAATGTGCTATAGTACTAAAATGAAAGAAATTTAAATAATATTTTCTTCAAAATTATGTTGTATATCATCATTTATGTTCATCTTTTCTTTGTAACATTATTGTGGAAATAATTAGTTTATTAATTTGAATATATTGAAGTCCTACTTCACTATTCTTCTTTGATAAAAATACTATTTGATATGTTCCATGAATCAAAAGAATTGAGTTCCATAATTTCGACGGATTCTCATGGAGAAGAAGCCATTTTCGGATGCAAAGCTCGGGAAAATGGTAGAAATTTGATCGTAGGATGTTGTAATTCTGGTGATAACACATCAGAGTCGATCGCTGAAGTCCTACTTACAAGTTTCTACCATTTATCCGAATTTTTTCGACCAGAAACGATCCGTATTTCTTGACATTAGTAATTGGTCTTAAGAAAAGTTATATATTAACCATCTTCATCGTTGATATGATAAAGTTACGAAAAACCTAGAATTATAGACAAGACAATTCTACTTTAGACCCTATCGTCAGCTCGTTCCACTTCTGTATGTATAACTTAAGATAAATAAAAAAGAGCAGAATCAATGAGTCGGGAGGCCACAAAACTATGACAACATTGATAACTCAATATTTTAGTATGCGACCCAATTTTATGTTACTAATACAAAAAAAACCAGGCTTTTTACATTATTATTAACGAAATATTATGACTTATTAAAACTTATTTTGATTACATGCATGAAATTGCAACGGTGTGAAAAGTTTTAAAATAATCCTATCACATTTTCTTTTTATAATATCTATTCTTTATCAAATACATATGAAAATCTCGGATTTAAATCCGAGTGTTATGTGTACTTCAAAAAGTAAAAACACAGAAGCAATTTCCGTTTAAGTATCTTTGCAATAGGTGACTTAGCCTTCTTGCTTCTTAATGTTTTATATACCATTTTGTAATCTGTGAAATTCTCTATCGAATGGTATATAATAGCTGAGGTTTTGTTTGATTATGAGAGAAAAATTGTTTTGTTACGAAAACCGGACTAGGTTAATGTTCGCATAGAAAAGCATAGAAAATAATGACATTTTTGCGATAACTCAGCAAGTTCTTGACAAATCATTCTCGTATTTGAACTCGATCGAGATATTGATGAGATAATTCTATGTGCAAAATTTCATCACAATCGGACCACCCTTTGAAGAGTTATCGTGTAAACGGTCGGCCGGCCGGACACACTGACCGATCCTATAGTGTACTCACTTTTTGAGTACACAAAAGCCCATAACATTTTTCTTAACGAATTGCAAAAATAACATTCCAGGGTTTTTAGTTGTAACAATTTTATCAATTATAATTAGGTGTAAAAGTCAAAATCAATATGATCCAGATCGATATACCAATGAGCAAGAGTTTTAGACAAGTAAAACATATATATCGAGTATGACAATTTTTTCCATTGGCTTCTTAGATAAATGCTCTAGGGTTGATTCTTATGGTTTTAACATATTCAATATACTATTAATCTTACAAGCTTATATCTAGTAAAAACCTTAAATTCTTACATAGTTTTACTTTGTACAGAAGTTCTTAAGTATACAGATAATGTACGACTTTGTATTTTCGTCTAAATCACACCAAGATTTTCAAAGTCGGTTATACTCAGAGCACACCAACAATATTGTTTTCTTGATGGAAAAAATATAGAAAAGAATTTATTAAGATTTTATTTCATTAAATGTTCGAAATAGTTACCCTAGCTATTGATATAACCAATTATATTCGCTCAATGTTTTTATCAAACGTTTTTATAGTTCACTGTGGTGATTGAGTTCAGAATTTTGGTTACACCACAATGCAATATTTCTGACTGTTTTGATTACAAAGACGTTGTCTGGTCAGATCGAACGGCCAAAAATCACAGAGCGTCAAATCAGGAGAATTAGATGATTGTATCATGCTCACGATATCTTCGGATTCAAGAAACATAGAAACATCTTTATGAACATATGGTCTTGCCTTATCGTGACGAAGTTTGATTGTATATGTCTCATATGATGGTCTTTGCTTTTTGATTCAACTTCGAACAAGTTTCTAAGAATAAGTCTTGAGAAAAAAGTACAAAAAATTTCTTGCAGGAAGATGACCACCTTAGACCGCAGCAGGTGAAATATTTCCACTTGTTACTCAAACAGCATTAGAAAACTTTGGCCAAAGTTGTTTTTAATAAAACCATGATTCGTCATTTGTCACTATATTGCATAATCGCCACGTTTAATGTTAAGGTTTTTCTTAATTTTATTTGTATCTTGGAATCCGTTCGGCTCGTTATCAGTCAGTTGGTTAGGTTTCCAGCGAATTGTAACTCTTTTTCAATTTCATGTGATCAGAAATAATTTGTTCGAACCTGGCAAAAATATTTGTTATATATTTAGAATAAGAGGTGTAGCTTCCACCGAACTTTTTTCGTGTATCCATATCAATGGAAGAATTATAATATATAGAAGAAATATAGATCTAGATTGATCAAAACGGATATCATTTATAGTCCGTTTTTCGTCAGTGAACGGTGACAAACGGCAACTTTAAGACAGTAATCAGAACTTATTTTCTGGTAATCCTATCCATAGTAATAAAGTACCGTATACGATATCATATTTTTGCCTTATACGTGCCACAATTTAACAAATATACGACGGTTTTTCTATATCCAATATTATAACAGTATACAACCTGTTTACGTATCCTATGTTTATCATGAACAGCCATATACAGACTCTATTTTTCAGCTGGAGATTACAGTTTGTCCTACCATAATATGCAATGAGAAATATTTCTCGAACTTTCTATACAGCATCATAGTGTCGTCGCCTCTACTTTTAATATGCTCTAACTATGTTATCCTTCTAATTGATCAATATTTTTTTCAGAAACAAATATTCCTAATAGTAGAATAAAAACAAAAACAGAAGTTTGATATAAATAATTTTTAATATCGAATATATAATACAAAGCTGAAAACACACATATTCTGTAAGAATAAACAAGAATAAGAAAAAAAGCTTTTTTTTCTATGCCGATATAATAACATCTCCATTTCGTAAATGTGTTACTTTAGGTAATGGTGCTCGTTTTTTTGTTAAGTGTTCATTTGTTGTTAATGATGCATGATCAATAAATGGATTAATACGTGACAATGATGGTGATCGAATATGTAATGGTACTCGTCGTCGTTCATCAATTGTTTTTTGTTGTCGATGAAATCTAGGTGATAAATTTGTTTGTGGTACAAGGCCATGAACAAATGTTGATTTTGTTAAATAATTTCCATAATTTGAAGAAATTACAGTTGATATTGGTTGTTGTTGTAATTGATGATGATAATCAATATTTGTTGGTGAATCAGCTGATGTAGCTGTTGATGTTGATTGAGCAAATGAAGATGATGAAACTTTATCATCAGATGATTTTGATGATACACGAAAACGATGTGATTTAATAATTATAATAATAATAAGTATAACAAGAATAAAAAATAATATTATAGCTATTGCTATAGCAATTAATGTACGAATAAATGCTGCTGTTTGATGTTGACGATTAATATGTTTATATGTTGAAGATAATAAATTATAAATTGATGTTGTTGTTGATGGTGGTGGTGGTGGTGGTGGTGGTATTGAAGAAAGAAAAGGCTCATTGAATAATTCTTCATGAATTTGTCGAGTTATTGTTGATGGGCGACATTTATTACCATCACAATATGTACCTATAATAAAATTATAGTTATTTTTTTTTCTTTTTTGTTTTGTTTTTACCTGTTGGACATTTTCTTATATTCGATCCAATTCTTTGCTTTTCATTATCATCAAATCGACATATACCTGATGGTTCTAATTCACAATCAAATACACCATTAATTTTTCTCACTTTACGTGTTAATTTTGGACAAACACAATGTGATGTTTCACTATTATCACACCATTTTAAACAACGTCTCGGAAATTTTGTACAATTACTTTGATCAATTGAATCTGTACAAAAACGTCCAATACCTATTATATCAATATTTGATATATTCTCATTAAAACATTCACACGTTTTTGTTAATTTATTACAATGAATAAGATCTTTAATGGAATATGAATTTTGACAATCTTCATCATATTGACATTTAGTATTGATTGGCTTTTCATAATTTATTTTAAAATTAAATGTCTCATTCGATGCTGTTAAATAAACTAATTCTCGTGAGCAATCATAAGCTTTACATGAACGAAGAGAAATATCTCCTAAAAGAAAAAAAAAGTATTATATTTTATTTTAACTTCTTCAAGACAAGAAGCATATATATATACATCACTTCTGATTAAAGACTGTCGGGTTTGTCTAAATCCGAAAGTTTTAGATGCGACGGGCTCTACTTCTAATTCAATTAGTTACTGACACTTCAGCATGTCTTTTAATTTGACGTAGCTTGAGAGTTTTCATTAGGAGGATAGCTAGCGGAGGAAAATTTCTACTACAAAACTAAAGTGATTCTTTAGCGACAGGAATACCATTCATTTTGGAGACTCATCTCTTTCTAGTGACCTGGAGGCTACGCTACTAGTCTCTTATAAAACTCTAATAATAAAGACAATTCTGTAGATCAATGAATCCGCCATTTTCAAATATATCCTGAAATTATCATTTGTATTGTACTCTCGTTCAGCTGCTTTCTTCCGCGAATTACACCCGTTGTTTCTATACTGTTTTGTTGGATCTTCAATGAATGTCGACGCTAACTATCAATTTTTTGTGCAATATCCTTGTTATTTTCGAATAAGTTTTCTCTGTCCTAGTGTATTTTAATTCTGGCTATCATCCGTATATATACATATATGTATGTACATTGTCTGTGAGTTTCAAATATTGATATTTCTTTCTACAGTAAACTCACTGACAAAAAGTTAATAAAAAAAAACAAACCTGGTTGTAAAAAAAGAACTGATTGCATGCCAAGATCAGTTATATTCATAACACTTAATTGAGTTGTCATATATTCCGCTGTTGATAAGAATCGGTTAGGATATTTATTATGTCTCATTGTATATTGACATTCAGTAAATGTCAAATTAACCGGTTGATGAGTACATTTTATTAATAATGGTACCAGTAACATCCAACGATTACCTAAGTTATAAATAAGTGTATTATTAATATTATTATTCTGACCAATTGAATAATATCCAATAAAATCAATTGAATTTGAATTAAGAATATTTGCACCAAGTGTTATATAAAGATTTGTATCAAATACACATTCAGCTAATATAACAGATGTACGAATATATGGACAAGTAGCCAATATTTGGCTAACAAGAATGTGAACATAAACAAGAAACAATCGAATAAACATGGCATGGCATGTGTAATATTTCACATCATCTAAAAAATAAAAAGTATTAATAAAGTGGATAGATCGATTAATATGCATTTGATTTTTATAGCCTGCTCAGTCGGTGGTCATTGTCAATTGTATCGATTTATAAACAATAAGCAGACTTGCTGCTATGTATATATATACATATATAGAAAATATTCTAATTGAAAGTAGTATGATTGGAACAGTGTGGGCGGTAATCCTGTCGCACAGTACGTCTCCTCCTCTCATCATCATTATTCTATTGCAATCAATCAACTATCAAATATAGTGAATGTTTCTCATCAACTGCACACATCATGAGAATGTCTGTTATCGTTTGATTCTCGTTCGTACTGAAATAGACAAACTATTTATTTTGTTCAATAGTACATTTAATAGACCTTTCACTTACTCATTCTTCTTTCTATACATGATCAACTATTCTAAAATAAATTTATTATATTCTATTGATGATATACAGTAAATACAAAAATTATTCAATAAAATTTTTTTTCCAGCTATTTTCCGCTGCCGTAGCGCTAGAAAAAATTCACATATTGAGAAAATGATTTTCAAGAAGAATATAAAGAAATAAAAATTATTATCAAATTTGCAAAGATACAGACTCCAAAAAAACCAAAACCCTGGTTTTTCAACATTTAAAAGGCTACAATAAACAATTTTTCATCAAATGAAATGTCTCTGAATTCTCTGCGATGTTTTATCGCTGAGATACAGCAATTTGATTGATGAAGGTCAAAAAATGATTTTAGAAGCTTTCGTAAGATTTCTGTAGCTCAGCGAGAAAACGTCGTCGAAAACTTGAAGACATTTCATTTTCTAGACAACTATTTACTCTAGTATTCTAAATATAGAAAAACTAACCTTTTGGTTTTTCAGATTTCCTATTTTTGGGAACCAAATAATCATTTTTATTTCCTTATATTTCTGCTAGAAACAAGTTCGTATATTCGAATCATTATTTGTAACCTTTTTTCTGTTCACGGCTACACAAAACAAAATATTTGAAAATAATCTTTGTTAAATAATTTTAGTACCCACTGTATGTATATACTTGCATTATGTAAAAAGAAAATATATTTTGATGTATAAACCTCTATTGAAATGATCAAAAGCAAAATTGATCGAATTGTTCAATGTCATGTGTTAATGCATAGAAATTTTGATAATAGATGAATGTTGACATGAATTAGAGTGTTAATACGTCAAAGAAATATAGTTTAAAAATAATGATGAACAATATTGATGTTGCATTTATAGTGACTAAAGTGAATGATTTGCTCACTCACGAGTGCTAATAGATTCCTGCTTGTATGCTTCATAATATTGTGGTCTAGTGATGATTGCGGATAATCGTGTCGAATTTCCGCATTACTCTTATTCTTTCTTTTCTCTAACATTTACATCACATATACGTATAGGAGAGACTGCAAGAGAATCTCTCTCTCTGTCTCTCTCGTGTGCCGCCGAATGTTGTTTGTACAAATCACATGAAAGATAATCATTTTGTGATACATATATACGCACACATACGGTTACGTTGTTTTCTTTTCTCCTCATTCTTCACTATGCCTTAGAAAACGATGCTAATTACTTGTTCTATTCGTTTTTTTTTCTATATTTGAGCTAACACAATCAGAAGGAAGTGTTTTACCTGTAGTAACAATTGACTACTTGGACATCTGTTCTATATGCTATTGGCAATAATAAAAATTAAATGAACAATACCATTTTTCTTTTTGGAATGGTTATGATGATTGACAGTTGTGAGATTATATGACGACACAGTTCATTTGATGAATATTGAGTATTGTTAGTGTGTTTAGACGATGATGGTACATCACATGCTCTTTTGCTAGAGATGTATCGCCTCGAGATACTCGAATCTGATGGCATTGATTATGCAACAAGAACAACAATTTGTATGCATTATAATGTATGTGAATGATCACTTCTAACAAGATTGATTTTCTCTCTCTCACTTTCTCGTTTTGGAAACATATGTGAATAAACATTCCATTGACTCACGTACACTTTTGAAGATGAATAAAACAATACTCATGATTTATGTGTCTATAGATGATTATCATTTATTGTTTTTCTTTTAAGTGATCGAGATATTCAATAATCTTAAACTATTCGATGTCAAAGAAAATCATCACTACATGACTGTCATGGCCATTATGATTTGTTGTTGTTTACACGATGTTACAGATATATGTGAATGTCGATAAGATTCATTGATCTCTGTATATTCAGATGTGAACTAAATAAACCTCATATATTTGTCTAGCAAATAATAATAAGCAGTAACTTGAGCTAATATTCATTATTTAGGTTTGCTTTTTTTCTTGTTATATTTCACATAAAACCTATTCAAATGAACTGGTTCATTAATATTCTTTTTTTACGGTAATATACATAAATGAGATATTTATTATGACATTTTGATTTGAGAGCATTAGAAAATGTCAATGATAAGCAAAAATGTTCGCAATCAATAACGTATATTAATGTTATTATTATTTTGAAAAGAACTGTTTTTTTATTCATCATCAAGATTAGTTCCAATAATAAGTGCACGTTGATATGCATCCAGTTTTTCTAATGATATTTTTGGTAAATTAAAAGTAGAGCCTAAATGAATAAAAAAGAATGATTTTTCAATTTAATGTTTTCTTTGGTTTGAAAACCTCTTACTTGCTTCTGTTAATTCAGTACTCCAATGTGTTAAGGTACAATTATTTTGTGCTAATAGTTTTCTTTTTTTTCGAAATTGATCTAATGTTTGATTAGATATAAATGTTGTTGGACTCATACTAACATAGGCAACAATTCGTAAGAAATCAATTGATTGATTTTTTAATCGTTCATCAGAAACAAAAGCACAAGAATTACAATGTACAAGACGGAAATCCCAAAGAACAGGATCATCAGATTGACAATGAATAAATTTTCCTATAGCATTTCCTCGATCTAAAATGAATGCATATTTGGAATTGCAACAAAATCTTTTGAACCACGTGCAAGATCATTTAATTCACTAAAACGTAAATGTGTATGTGGAAAAACAATAAGACCACCTGTTGTTTCATTATGATCAGTTAATGCAATAAAACCTTATATACAACATCGATTAGGTTTTAAAATAGGATTTTGATCAACATAATACCATCCCATCGTTGTTTTCCATTTTGGTTCATAATATCAATTACGAAAAATTCCACAACCATCAAATGAAACTAATAATTCATTTGTATTCCATATATGAGAATAAATTCATTTTATATTTCGATTTGAACGAACATTCCACATAAAATCAGATTGACCAATACCACATTCGTTTATAATACCAAATTGAGTATTACCAGGCCTAAAGAAATACATTTAAAAAACATTTTATGACCATCATTTTTTTTTTCTATACCAATTATTTGACCATGTTGTTGAATCATGACGTTGAATATGACGTCCAGGAATGTTCTCTAGAAAATTCTATAATAATTCTTTATTCATATTAATTTCATCTTGAAGCATAATGTCGCTAAATATAGCATAACCATGTTCATTTAAATGAGTAATACCATCATTAAGGCTATCATTATTAGTTACTGAAAAACGGGGTGTTAATGTTGTATAATCAATGCGTATATGATTTTTGTCTAAACAATAATTTATTAGATTATTATCGGACATTATTAATTGATTCAAATGGCTTCTTTTTAGCTCAGATTACTTACATATATATATATATATATAAATATTAATCGTAATTTTGACATTACTTAGAAGAATTATGCAATAACTAATACATACAAAAAGCCATATAGTTATTTCGCAATAAAGATGCTGCAGACATAATAGATGATTCGGAATGAATTTATGAACCCGCGGGATTTATACAGTCGTGATAAGACACTCATCTGTTGTTGTTTTTTAGAGTTCGACACAAAACACATTTGCACAGCTTTGATGATAATAATAATAATAATAATAAGACAAAGTAATTCACTGATGCCATACTAAAGTATAATCCTTTACCTCCTATTAGTCATTATTGACAGTGATTGAACCAATACCAGTAAACTAGGTATAAATACTTTTTACTTCACTATTGTACTTTGTACTTGTATTTAAGTACATTTTTCTTAAGTCCAATCGTATTTAGTACCAGTACTTTATGCCAATGTACTTAAGTATAAGTTGCACTCCAGTATCAATACTGAGTTCAAATGTACTTAGTACAACGTACCTATGTACAGTATAATATTATGCTTTCATTAATATTTCTTTATTAGTGCCTAATATTTTCGTAGTCTAATGACATCTGTGATAGTAAAACACAATAGAGAGTAACATCTGCATTGTCATCATATTTATGAGGTGTAGGTATGGAGTGTCAATCTTCTCATTATTCGAATTAAAATTTGTTATAAATTAATTTTTTCATGTTTCTCATATGCATTATCTATTCTTATCAGACATTTTTTGTTGGTTTTCTATCAATTTCAAACTCGTTGATTTCTTTCTCTAAAACGCAAATGTTTCTTCCACTAGTAATTTTCTTCAAACTCATAAAAATTTTAACTCTTTACTGAAATATTTCTTCTATTGTTCATCATTTAATTGTGCAACAAAAATTTATATGAAAGTATCGGATAAAATAATACACAAGAAATATAATATCGTAACAATAAAACATTATCTCATATAAGATTAAATGCAACAGAAATACTTTAATCCATAGAATTCATATGTTTGTTGGCATCTTGAATAATATTACAAAAATAGTTCCACTTTTTAAATTTTTTTATGACTCTAATAACAAGTAGGAATTCTTAAATATGTCCAATACATAGAAGACATTTGGAACCTCATGTAAAGAAGAAAAAACGAAAAATGCAAAACTTACAAGGACTGCATCAGGAAAAAAAGCACATTACTAATACCAAGCGCACTTAAATAAAATGTACTTCAATTCAAGTAGAAAGTACCACTGTTAAGTAAAAAGTATATATACGAAGTATGCAATCATTGATTTTTGACACTTTCATAGAAACTATTTATTGAAGTTATAACGTATTAGATCCATATAATTACCGCATACCGTGTAGAGCCTCCAATAAGTTAAAAAATTTCTAGAGTTACATTTTTTTTTCAATGTAAACTCATGAATAACATGATCTTCATTCTAAAAACTTGATTAAAACTAACATACTAAAAGACTTTTTTTTATCGAAAATAAAAGAAACCTACAGTTTCTGTTGCAGCGATTCTCCAATTTTTATGCAAAATTTTCGACATACATAATCGTTTTCAGTTATATAGATTGTATCAGATGAAAAAAGTACTAAATAAAGTTGTTGCTTTTTTTATTAAACGAAAAGAAAAACAGTAATAATGAAATCTTCTCTTCTTCTTTTTCTAAGTTTCTACTTTGTTGCTAAACTTTTTTAAAAGAAGAATAATATGAGAAGAAGAAAAAAAATCACATTACAACAAAACAAAACAAAAACAAAAGCAGAGAAAACTAACAAACAAAACAATGTTAAAAAACAACCTATCTAAGTCTTTTCTTTTATAAACTGTTTATTTATTGCCATGTTTCACTGTATTGAGCTCTATTAATACCTTTTTCATCAAGAAGTACAATTTTCACATTATCACCTTGAACTGTACTAGCCCATGCTGGAATTGATGTTGCAATTAGACGACCATGTAATGTACTATTTCCCATATTTTCAGCTTTATTAGAATAAACACGTACACGTGTTCGTGCTTTAAGTACACATGAATCAGGAAATTGAAAAACACTTTCTGGCCCATCATTTATACTACGAACAAGTGTCCAGCCTTTAAGTGGTTGATCAACACAATTTGTTGAAGCATTATTTATGGAAATAAAACCTGGTTGAACTTGATCAATATCAAATTTACCTAAAATAATATTACATATTAATATTGAACCTTCTTCATTTGTTATTTTCATCTCACCAGTTTTTGATATAGCACGTTGTGTATCATTTTTTTTGACTGTTATCATTTGTTGATGTTGTTGATCTTGTCGTTGTTCTTCAATAGGACTATTTTCTTGTTTACCATTTGGTAGTGATGTATGAATAATATTAGATGATGATTTTGTTGTTTCTAAATCTAATAATCTTCTATATGTTTCTAATTCAAAATGTACAGACAACCAATATTGTTTTCCAATTTCAATAGCGTCTGTTAAATGATTTATTTCATTTATTAAACGATTATATTCATTATCAAGATGAACACGTTCCTCATCAATTTGATTTTTTTCTTTTTGTTTTGATATATAAAGATCGATTAATAATCGATATTCATTTTCAATATCTTGACGAGCATTTTCAGTTTGTTTAAGTTCATTATATAATGTTTCAATTGATATTCGAGATGTTGATGGTATTTCTTGTTGTTTATTTGCTTCATATGTTAATATTTGTGTTTTTATTTGTTCAATACGTTCTGTATAAGAATTTTCAAGTATAGTTTTATTATTTTTTAATAATGTTTGAAAATCATGTTTAATATCTTCAATAGCTTTATCCAATTCATTTGTATAAAATTGTTTTTGTTTAATTTGTTCATTGACTAGAAGATATATACATATTTTATTTCATTTAAAGAATATATCATTTATGAATTCTATGAAATTATGAAAGTGTTTTTGTTGTTAGTTAATAAGCCTAGACATTCGAATCAAATTAAAACTTCACCGTCAAACTAATAAATTTTAACTTGCATTTGGTGTACACAGATCGAGACATCTGACTCTTATCGTGTTTACAGTATATGTAAAATACTCACAATTCAAAATTTAAGCAGTCTTTTTTTTGGGATGATTTGATAAAACTCATTGAGGTACATAAGAAAAAAGCGTTTCAAATAAAAAAGAGCATTTTATGAAAAAGACGTCGAAAATACCATCATCTTCAAATGCAAGAGAAAATAGACTCCAAATACCAACTTTCGTAAAAAAGTTTCGTTTTTACTTGAAAAATACTTTCTCTAATGTAACTCGATCAGCTCTATTCACGCATGTCAAACTAAATTCTGCTGAAGTTTCGAATTGCAAATGTTTTACATATAATGCAAGCCCTATAAAATTCGAATAACTTGATATAAGTACGACAAGAGCAGTCTACATTTTACAGTTACTAGTTTAATGGTGAGAGCTTTAGTTTACATTGGAACGAGATTAATGAAAACTGTAAGACTGACACTTTCTCTGAAAAAATTCAGTCGAAGTTCAAGAAGTAAAAATTGAAAATTGGAAGATGATAAATAGAGACTTTCGCTATCGAATCTAGTCACTATTAAGTGACAATTAAAATTCCAGATCTTAATCAATAAAATATTATAAATTCGTTCCGAAGAACCAAAAATAATGACGTTTTGATGCTTTTGACAATTATTTTATGTAGATTGATCATAGGACTCTGAAGAGAAGGATTCTGATTTTGCCTATCTACTAGAAATGATAAGTCATTTTCGATTAGAGATGTACAATGTGAGAGTTAGGAAATTTCTCTCAGTAACGGTACGCAGTACGAAAAAATTTTACCCCGTACATGTCTATTGTGATACTATTTATCACTTTTAGAGTCTTCCAATGCGAATAAAATTAAATGAGAATGAAATAAAAACTCCTCATAGTAAGGTAAGAGTAGATGTTCTATAGTAGGATTCTCCATCCGACGAGGCTTCCCAATTTTAGCCAATTTTTCAGCTTCGTGGTACAAATTGAACCGAAATTAGATTTTGCCATGTCATCGGTTGTCGGATGGGTCTTTTTGCTGATTTTTAAGCTTCTCATACTTCTAAAAATATCGGCAGCTACGTACTACAGCATCTGAAGGAAAGCTTTTCCTGCTTGTCTCCACTTTTGATTTAAGATTAAAATTTCTTACCAAGTTCAGCTTTTTCAGTTTCATAAATTGCTTTTTTTAATAATGTTTGTTCTTCTATAGTACGAAGATTACATTGAAGTCTCATATTATTTAATATAAGATCATGTAATTCATCTTCAAGTTTTTTATATAAATCATTCATTTGATTCATTTCCTTTTTATTTGCTTGAGATATTTTTTCTAAATCTTCATAATGATTTGTTAATTCTTTTAATTGTGCTAATGTTTCTTGATATTCATTTTCTAATGCTTGACGACGCTTTGTATATGAAAAATCTTCTTCAGTACGAATTTTATCTTTAAGTAAAGCTAACTCTTTTAATGCTTGATTACGTTTAAGAATAAAATGTTCAGTTAATACAGCTGATTCATCCATTTCATGACGTAATTCATTCATTTTTGTTTCAAGATCTTGATTATCTTGACTTATTAAATTTTCTAAATAAGAAAAGAAAAACAAAAGAAAGGATTGTTTTTAAAAAAACTTTGAAAGTTTTACTTTGTTTTTGTTTTTCTACATCAACTTTTTTTTGTAAATCATCATTTTCTTTAGATTTTTTACGTAATGCAATAACATAATTTGAAAAACGATTATTTAATTCATCAAGTTCAGTTTTTTGATCACGAATAATTGTTAAATGATCTAAACTATTTATTGAATCATTATTTAAATTTGGTTTTTCTGTTGTTGTTAAATTAGAATACGTATTTGTAAGTGAAACATTTTCATTTGATTTTAATGTTGTATTTGTACTATTA